AAAGAAGTGGTTTTTTAATAGTGTGTTGAAAAGGATAAGGAGTTCGTTCATATTATCCTATTGACTCGAAGACTCATTCATTAGTCTCACCTTGACAAGAGTCCATTCTGTGATAGTGAGCCTGACGTTTTCATCTATAAATAATTTTCTCTATGCATTTAATAAAACATTCTTAACAGAAACAGATAACAAAAATTACAGAAACATACAAACATAATATAAGGACCAAATTTGACTGTAAGTAATTGTCTAACCAAATCAGGAAATCCTATTATTATAGAAATAGGACCATCCATCATATTAAAGCTACACCTAAATTTAGTCCAATTGACCCACGCAATTGTCTAGCGGTATTAGAGTAGTTAGCGGGTATAATCTTTATATGATATAGAAGAGTAGATAATACTTTTATATATATATATATATTATATTGTAAAGTATGATATTTGAGTATAAAATTATGTACTCTAATCATTAACCAGTATAACAAAAACTTACTGATTTTCCTCCCTCTTTAGTACCAAAAAAAATAAAAAATTACTGATTTTAAATATCATACCTAGAATAATCATATAAATATTACTATGACATTAATTTGATATTTAAAAATTGTATAAATATACATCTTTTTTATATCACATGAGGATAGATCAACTAATAATAGAGATTGTCTAACCAAATCAAGGATATTGCAATTTGGATCAATTATAGCTAATTTTAATCCAATTACAATGAATCTAATTACTTCTCAAATATTCCATCTTATCCATGAAGATTATCCCTATACTAATTCTCTAATTAGGAAATTCCAAAAAATAAGGTGAATTATCCAAATTTTTAAGGTGTGTAATCCATTATTCACAATCTGATGGTTAATAGTTAATATCTCACGTAGAACTATCCACGAGTAGGGTCAAATCAAATTTGTCCATAAACATCGTAATCAAATTAATTAAATCACATAGATAGAAACTCACCGCCAAAGGTATGCCGAGGACCGCGAAAAGCGCCAGGGCCCCAATCTTCACGCCGGACGCCGGGTGGTGGGTGGCGCCGGTCAACTCGTGCTGCCGCGAGTGCTCCGCCGCCTTGGTGATCACCACCGTCATCGCCAGGCACGCCGCCAGCAGGAAGTTCACCACGCCCCACGTTTTCTTCACTCTTCCCGGCCACCGCGCCAGAGCCTGTACTCCGAGCGAGGCCGCGCCCAGAACCACCGAGTTCAGCATCAGCCCCAGCGCCCCCGCGCGGACCCCTCGGTCGTACAGCCTGTCGCCGGTGGTCCCGCCGAAGACCTCCCGGGCCATCCAATCAGTGTCGTACAGGAGAAAGGCGAACCAGGCGATCCAGTTGAGGCTTGTGACGAGCATGAGGATCCACATCGTCCTCGGCAAGTCCTTCAGCGCGCCGAATAATTCCCCAAAAACGGGGATTTTCGAGGAGGATGTGGGCGACTCCGGCGCGGCGGCGACGGCGGTCTCGCGGACGACGACGAGGGCAAGGATGGTGACGGTGAGGAGGAGGGCGATGGAGATGAAGAAGCAGGACTTGAGGTTCGCGCAGTAGACGTCGCACGCGCGCGTGTGGGAGAAGGGGAAGATTCTGTACAGGTGTGTGTAGGAGCCGGCGGCGTAGCCTAGCACGTTCCCCACCGCCATGAAGAAGGAGAAGAGCGCGTTCGACGCACTCGTCTTCCGCGCGTTGCCGTGCGAAAGGTCCGCCAGCAACGCCCTGCACGGTCCCTGTAACAGAAAACGAAAACCAAAAAAAATTGCAGAGGAATCTGAGCTAAACGACGCCGTTTCGCAACAGAAATTGGGGGAANAAAAAAAAAAAAAAAATTGGTTCACCTGCATCATATTATTAGCGACGTCGAGGATCCAGAAGCCGACGACGAAGACGGCGATGGCGCGGGGCTTGGCTCCTTTCCCGAGGGTGTCGCCGCTGGCGTGGCCGATGTCGGCGGCGAAGCCGATGAGGAAGACGGCGGTGGCTACGAGGGCGGAACCGGCGGCGATGAAGGGGCGGCGCCGGCCGAACCGGGAGGTGCAGTTGTCGCTGTAGAAGCCGACGATGGGCTGGACGAGGAGGCCGGAGATTGGGCCGCAGAGCCAGATGTAAGCGGCCCACTGGTGGGGGATGCCGAGGAGCTGTACGTAGGGGGTCAGGAGGGAGAGCTGCAGGGCCCACCCAAACTGGACCCCGGCAGCGATGGCCGCCACGAGGACCATCTTATAGAGCGGCTCAGCCGGCGCCGGCGGGGGCGGCGGAGGAGCAGCAGCGGCGTTCTTCGTGGCCATATTTCTATTGATTTATTATTATCTTTATATTTATGTATCTGTAAAGAGCTGTGTGTGGTTAAAACTGAAGTGTACGCCGATATTTATAATGGTTTTGGCGGGNCAGATTTTTGTTCAAGCCTAATAAAATGTAACGTTTGTGTGTTCAAACTTGACTTGTTTGAAGTTCTAAATAATAAATTTTAACATAATTTTTTATATTTTAATTTTTTAATATTGATAAACAAATTTGAACTTAACGAGCTCGATTCGACTTGACTCGTTTACTCAGTAAATTATAGTGGTTAGTAGTTTTGGGGTGGGGGAAGTTAGAGTGGATATTGTTTCATAAGAAAAAAAAAAGAGATAAAAAAAATAGTGCTAACAGGTATGGAGGGGAAAGATAAAATGTTTATTAATGATTAATAAATACGTGATGAATATTAATTTGGATAGTGGTAGGTAAAGTAACGACTAATTTATAATTTAAATATTGCATTGAGAAAAATAGAATGGGAATGCCTAGGGATGATTTAGTGTAAATTACAATTTTAGTACTGTATGTTTTACTAATTTAACTTTTTCGTCCTTTTCGAATTACGGTTTTATTTTCGTCTCATATGTTTGTAAAAAGGTTACAAAAAGGTTCTTTGCATACATAAGGGACAAAATTTGAACTTTTTTTTGTAAAACATAAAGGACCTTTTTGTTGCAAAAAAGACATTTTTGTAACCTTTTTGCAAATATACGGGACGAAAATCAAAAACACAATTGAAGGAGGACGAAAAAATTAAGATAGTGAAACTTACAGGACTAAAATTACATTTTACTCTTTATTTTAATTTTAAAAGTTGTATTAGACGATACGAGAATGGAAAAGAAAATAGATGGATAATCAGTTTTTTCAATTAGAAGTGAAATAAATAAATAAATAAATCATCCCCACACTTCCATATTCTTTATTTTCGTTTTTCATATAAAGTTATCGTTTTATTTATTTGAACAAAAAAAATAAGGAATTACTAATGAATTTTAGTGGGTGGGGGGGGGTGGGAAGGCTTTCCAAGGTCAACTAATTGAAAAATTGCCTAAAAAAATTTAAAATTTCTGATTATCATAATATTATTATGTGTTAGTGCAACATACTTTGACTCAATGTACATATTGGTTACTTTTACATAAATAATGTAATGTAATTATTTGTCAAATGTGTACTTTATCCGTATTCTAATATATATATAAAACATTTGTGTAATATATGGTTAATTTTAATATATATCATTAGAATTACTTGCAAAATTTTATGTACTAAATTTGTTGTTTGTTCAATGTATTCAGTTGTATCAATTGATGAACAAGTAAATTGGTATAATTATATTTATTATATGATGTTTATTTATATGTGATGTATACCAAGCTAATTTTATATAATGGAACACGGTACACTATAAAAAGTTATTCATGTTCTATAAATGCAAAATGTATTTGAAATTTATAACTTGATTATTATGTGTTCATAAATTCAGAAAATATGCAATGTGATTTGTGATATATGTAATAATTGATTTTATTTTTATGCTTAACGTGATTTTTAGAGCATCTCCAATGCATAAATGTTGTTATCACATAAATTTTGACAAATGTCAATTATTTAGATGGATTGTGAACCACATAAGATACTTGTTAAGTTCACAACTTTAAATTTAAATAATTATCTACAATGCACAATACATCAAACATAATACTGTCCACTTGACAAAAATAAAAAAAAAATTATAAATAAGAAACAAAAAAAATTAAATAATTAGATATTTTAAAAATAGTAATAATATTTATCTCTCATCTTTCAATTGGTTGATTAGAATGTGAATGAGAATGTGGATAAACTACATTCTTCTCTACATTGTGGACATTAATTATGTCCACCTCATCACTACATTTGTGATTACATTGTGCATTGCAGTATTAAAGTTAAGACATTGCTAAATTTGTCAATATAAAGTGTAATTTACTACAATTACATTTTACCATTGGAGATGCTGTTATGATATCAATCATGTATTAACTTTTGGAACAATGATTTAGCCTTATTTTTAGAGATTGCTTGATTAAAAATTTTCAATTCTGTGTGACAATAAAAAGGTCAAAAGTTTTTTAAAATGAAAAGAACAATAGGAAAAGCAGTGAGTAATTAAAGGATATTGATTGGTTTTAGGTGCAGTAAATTGCCATTAACTTTTACTAATAAAAGCTCTTTTTTAGTTTGGATAAGTTCATTATCCAAATGAACGTAAGTATGTGGAAATGCTAACTTATCGCGGTGGCTATATTAAAATGCATTTATTAACAATGTTGAGATTCCATAATTTGTTAATTACGTATATTGTGTTAATATTTATCAATGTGAATGTATTAACTTATAAGTTATATCACACAAAAGCAAGAGAATACATGTTATAACAATTAAATTAAAATATAATTTAGTTTTGTAAATCTAAAAATCATATTGAAAAACGATACTACAATCGTTTTACCTTAAATATTTTATTATTGATTAGNAAAAAAAAACCTTCTTTTATATTGTATGTACAATCTTATATTATAGAATGAGATTACATTAATTATAAAGAAATATTTAAAATATTTTAAGAAAATAAAACATAAATTGTTTATTTTCTTAATTTTTTCTAGAACATTATTTAATAATATATGGAGGGAGTATTTAAGAAAAATAGAGAAGAAAAAAAAATCTTTGTATGAAAATGGTCTCATATTTGAAGCGAAAGAAAAAAAAATATTGAGTAAACTTATTTGAAAAATACTACGAGTACATAATAATAAACGTACATAAAGGTATACATAACATTCACATGGAGTGGGGTTCACTTGATTTTTTATTTTTGATAAGACTCATTTAATGTGAATATTATTTACACTTTTATGTACAATATTATGTACTTAGAGCACTTCTCAATTTATTTTTAGGATAACAATACTTGTACATAAGTTGAACTAAAACTCAAATACAAATAAAAAAACGTTTAAAGAATGGAGTAGCCCACATTGTTCATCATCATTGGAAATTCTTTCAAAATTATGTTTGGATTCATATTTCATGATTGCGTGTTGTTCATCTACTGTAATAAAACAAGAATTAAAATATAATTTTAAAATAAAAAATCTCAACTGGTTAAATAGGTCAGCTCAAAAAATATTAAAGTTAGTCTAGAATAATTCAAATTATTCTCCATTATAATTCATTTTTAATCATATTAACATATCCTCCTAATTTTCCACAATAATAATTATCGTAAAAGACAAGTGATCATTATGATTATGATCATATAGCATGTGAACCATTTTGTCTTCCTTGTGATATAATGTTCCAAAATCATGACCGGAGAATTTCTTGTAAGCGAGTCACCTACTTGAGAAAAACAATTTTTGACGGACTAAATTTTGTGTGAATAAAATTTATTTCGTGTAATATATACTTTTTTTTTTTTGTGAGTGGTATATACTTACATTATGGAAGAAAATAAATTAATTATAAATAAAGACACAAATAAATTAAAACATGATTAGGGTAAATAATTATTAAAAAGTAACAACTAAAATCTAAATATAAAATTTAGAACATTTATTAAAAAGATATGATATGAATTTTTTTTCTTTAGAACAATATTTAATATTAATTGGATGGAGTATTATATCAATTGTGGGAGTTCAAAGGCATACATCTCAATTAAAATTCTTAATAAAGTTGGATAATTTTTACAATAATAAAATAAATAAAGTATATAGATAACATTTTAAAACAAAAAAGTATTTTTTTTGGAATTTAGGTGACATTTTAATACTTTTTAAATATAAAATTTTCATTTGAAACTAATCCTAGAAACTTATGTTTGTAAGTGAGATTTGGCTTTAGATTTCATATGTGGTTCACAAAGTTTACTATCTAGTATGTAGACTAATTCAAATTGAATGATAAATTTCTCAAGACTCTTTAAAGCTTAATAAATTTTTAAATGAATGCCTAAGGATTTTTTAAAGTGTTAAAAAATCCAAATATACCAAGATTCTTAAAATGAAAGTGTCCTTGACAATCTCGAATGAATGCACCTCCTAAAACAACCCTTATTAATGCAATTACTCAATCATGTACGAAAAAATGAGATTTATTATTTATATGCATAAGATGAGGTTGCATTTGTATAAAGATTATTTATTCCACGGACTGAAATATGAAATAAAATATAAAAGTGAAACACATAATCTTATCCGGAGTTTTATCCAAACTATATGGATAATATATGTCGTAGACTATGTTTCGTAAACTTAACTGATAAGCTAGTTGACAATTGATAAGTTAGTTGATAGCTTATAAGTTGATTTTGAGCTTATAGCTGATAGCTTACGACTTATGTTTGAAAATGTAGCTTATATGATAAAAGTATTTAGTAAAATTAGCTGATAAGCTAGCTGAAATAAAATATTCAACGAGCTTATTTGAAAAACTACCAAATGAAACTTATGATATAAGATAAAAGTTCATCCTATCAAGTCAAATTTATTTAAATATAATAAACTTATAAGCTAACCAAAGATATAAGTTAGCTTATGATATGTTCGCAAAATATTTTCACTACCCGCAAGTGTACGGTATAGCTATAGTAAGCGGCGAGCAAGGTCGTATTCTACAGAAATTGTTGTTAAAATAATCAAGTACCAAAATATTGACGAATAAATATTATTCAGCCTAACTCAAATTCGAATTGTAATTTTATTCTAAACTAATGAATAATTGCAAAATAAATTCTAATACTAATGAAGGCTTGTTCTAAGATAAATCAAGAATGAGAAAATAGATTCTAGGTTATGCTTTCCTCGGAATTATTCTAGTAGAGATTTCTTACTCATTCAAATCTTATTTAATTCTACCAATCGTAGGGATAATCACTAAATTAATTTACACATTTCTCTTGAACAAGTTAAATCGTAGATATTAATTGTTATCTATCTCCTCTCGGTCTCAAGATGAACAACTAACTCCCATAAGCTCCTAAGATTCTAGTTCCCTAGCAAGATTCTATCAACCTCTCGATCTGTTTAGTCTCTTACGATGAAT